GTGTTCGATCTGTGGGGCTTGCCGCCCAGGATGAATGGGGAAGATTTCAGGAGTAGAGAAGTCAATAGAGTAATCAGATCTGTTTATCCTTTTTTATCTTTATTAATTCTTGTTGCATTAATCTATTTTCTTTTTTATAAAACAAGTTTAGATTAAAGAATAAAGAAGATAAGAAAAGTGTCTAAATAAAAAAATCAAAAAGGAAAGAAAAAAAACACAAAACACAAAACATTGGTTCTTAGAGTCGAGCTCTAGTCCAAGCAAAAGCATAATTTCACTCTAAACCATCTGCACTAATTCCCATTCTAGAAAATTGTCCCCTAAAATATTTTTATTATTACCGGCCTTGAAACACATGCTTTTACCCAGACCCAGCTCTGGCTGGAACTGCTAGCATCAAGCAAACAAACAGACCCTTCATCGTAAAGCTGAGAGCTTGCAGTTCGTCGGTATGCCAAGAGCTCGTAACTTGTATCATTTGAGCTTTATTAGGACCAATAGATCTTTTAAGTCTACATATGATTTTGGTTAGATTTTGGTGGACATGATTTAGTGTTAAATCCATTACATGTGTGATTTTAGTTCATAATGAGTTTTATTGATATTTCTTTTAAGTAACAAAATTGAAAATTGTAATATGATAGTTAAATAATATAATAGAAAATAGTTAAAAATAGCCATAAAAAAAGAGTGTAATTAAATATCCATGTTCAAAAAAGTGCTAGGCATTAGTCGGACGATCGAGGTCCACCTAGCGCTTTGACAAAAAATCAGAGATTAATTGAGGATTAGTTTTTATATTTATTTTAATTATTTGTAATATTTATTTATATTTTAAGATTAATTTTGTTATATTATACATATATGAAATAATAATTGTATAAATATGTGCATAATGATAGACCTAGAAGACATATTAGTGTGTTGAGGACTCAAATTTAATTCAAACCCATAAATACTCATGACATTTTTTTGAAGAGTAGGTTTTTTGGTTTGTCACACATCGACAAACCTAATAATTGAGAAGGGGAAGTTGCACTATAAATAAGAGTCTTCATCTTCAATAAAATTAGTACTTTCACTCCTGTTGGGATTGTAATTGGGCCTGATTATTATTAGTAAGTCTTCCAATTTTTGGTTAAATCGCCGATTTTTATAAGAAAACGGTTTTAGGTGGTATATAATTGGGTTATCCGTTTAAATTGACTGTGTAGTCCAAAATTGCAGCGGCTGACACTGATCAGCGCCTATTCGGCTGAAAAAAATTTAGAATCATAGAAAACATTTAGTGTTTTAATATTATAAAATAATTATATATGCAAATTGAGGAAACTTTTCAAAAAGAAATTATGCATACTTTTTGAAATTATTTAACTTTTTTATCAAAAAATATAAGGAATGTAAAATAATAAGTTTATATTTGCTTAAATCATTTAAAAAATAATTAATTTTTTATTTGGTAGTTAAAAATAGTTCAAAATCTGAACTACCAATGACAAATTTTTTTTTAATTTTCTAGAAAGAAACAAATCATTTTTTACCATTCCGAGTTTGAGAAATTTGTAAAATATTTGACCATTTCTCTCTCTCTTCTTTTTATACCGCTTTTTGCAATTTTCGTCCCAGTTTTTTTTTTTTTTTCTAGTTTTTGGTTTCCATTTTAAAACACATATATATATAAACCAATTTTTTTTGTAACGGTGAAAGATTGATTACCAGTCAGAGTGACAGTATTATTCTTTGGCAACCATCTGTTTGCAACTAGGCTAGTCGTGAAAACTGATAAGACATGTTATTTTATATATGTATATATATAATTGTTTTTGTTGGCTATCTTTTTAACTATTTATAGACATAATTTTTTTAAATATATATGGGGACCCAAATATATGTACAAATGTCAATAGTCTCATGGTGAATTGAAAGCGATTGTCTACTCTCTATTCAAGATTTCTCTAAAATCAGAGTCGATAGCATCTCTTTCTTCATACCTGGACCAGCAATACTCCGAATACGTGTGGCACTTACGTACAATAAGAGAGAGAGAGAGATATGAACCTGGTTTTCGCCATTAAAGGAAAAAGGTTCGAGCTTGACCTCTCCTCCGTCGACCCTTCAACAACATTGTTAGAGTTCCTTCGATATCAGACTCCTTTCAAAAGCGTTAAGCTTAGCTGCGGCGAAGGTGAGTCCATTTCTCAATTCTCCTTTTCTTCTTCTTGTTCATTTATCTGATATTGTATGTTCTTGTTTGGTTTAGGAGCATGTGGTGCTTGTGTTGTTCTTCTCTCCAAATACGATCCTATTCTAAAAACCGTCGAAGATCTCACAGTCAGCTCTTGCATCACGCTCCTCTACAGCATAAACCATTGCAGCATCACTACATCAGAAGGACTTGGAAACAGCAGAGACGGTTTCCACTCGATTCACAATCGTTTCTCCAGTTTTCACGCCTCTCAGTGCGGTTTTTGCACACCTGGAATGTGTGTTTCTCTCTACTCGGCTCTCTTAGACTCTGAAAAGACTGAATCTTCTTCTGAGTTTACTGTTCTTGAGGCCGAGAAAGCTGTCTCTGGAAACTTATGTCGGTGCACTGGATACCGTCCAATTGTTGATGCTTGCAAGAGCTTTGCCTCTGATGTTGACATTGAGGATCTTGGTTTCAACTCTTTCTGCAAGAAAGGTGATTCCAATAAGAGTTTACCTCCGTTTAATAGTAAGAAGCATGTCTGTACATTTCCAGAGTTTCTCAAGGATGAGATTAAGTCTACGGATTTTGGAATGTACTGATGGTGTAGCCCGACGAGTGTTGAGGAGCTTCAAAGGTTATTGGGAGCTTGTAAGGCTAATGGTAATGGAGTTTCTATAAAATTGGTTGCTGGTAATACTGGTACAGGATACTATAAGGATGAAAGAGAGCGTAATTACGACAAATACATAGATATAACTAGAATACCGGAGATGAAAGCGATAAGAGAAAACAAGAATGGGGTTGAGATAGGAGCTGTGGTAACAATATCTAAAGTAATTGCTGCTCTAAAGGTGATTCGGGTCTCGCCTGGAGTTGAGAAGATGTTTGGGAAACTTGCTATTCATATGGAGATGATTGCCGCTAGGTTTATTAGGAACTTTGGTAGCATTGGTGGAAACCTTGTAATGGCTTAGAGGAAACAGTTTCCTTCTGACATGGCTACAATACTTCTTGCAGCTGGTGCATCGGTTAACATTATGAGCTTGTCAAGAGGAATTAAAAAGCTATCAGTGGAAGAGTTTCTTCAGGGACCTCCTCTCGAGGCTTTTGATCTCTGGTTTTGAGTATTGTAATTCCATTTTGGCATTCTGAAACAAACTCTGAGTTGCTCTTTGAAACATATTGAGCTGCACCGCGTCCACAAGGAAGCGCTCTGGCTTATTTGAATGCTGCTTTCTTGGCTGAAGTGAATGATACGAAGGTGATTAACTGTAGATTGGCTTTTGGTGCTTACGGGACCAAATACGCCATTAGGTGTAAGGAAGTTGAGGAGTTCCTCTCTGGGAAAGTAATCACTGAAAATGTTCTGTATGAAGTCATTACCTTACTTGGCAATATCGTTCTGCCTCAAAACGATACAACCAATCTTGCTTACAGGTCAAGCTTGGCGCCGGATTCCTTTTCGAGTTCTTTTCGAGTCATACAACAGAAAAAAACTTCAAATGGTTACCACTTGGATCCTCCAAAACCGTTGCCAATGTTGTCTTCTACACAAATTGTTCCTGTAAACGACGAATTCTATCCCGTTGGGGAGCCTGTTACTAAATCTGGAGCTTCCCTTCAAGCTTCTGGTGAGGCTGTTTATGTGGACGACATTCCAGCTCCCAAAAACTGCCTCTTTGGAGCTTTCATCTATAGCAAAAAGCCATACACACGGATAAAAGTTATTCATTTCAAGGAAAACTCTGTACCTGATGATATTCTTGCAATTATTTCTTGCAAGGATGTTCCTAAAGGTGGACAGAATGTTGGTATGAAGTTTGCATTTAGCACTGAGCCCTTATTCGCAGAGGAGGTCACCACTTGTGTAGGCCAGTCCATTGCCCTCGTGGTAAGTCTATTATTTTCCACGAGTTTGAGTTTCATTAACACTGATTTTAGTAACACAGAAAGTTGTAGGTTGCAGATACGCAGAGAAAGGCGGATACTACAGCCAATCTTGCAGTAGTTACATACAAAACAGAGGATTTGGAACCACCAATCTTGTCTATGGAAGAAGCAGTCAAGAAATCTAGTTTGTTCGAGATTTTCCCTTTCTTATACCCACAACAAGTTGGAGACACATCAAAAGGAATGGCTGAAGCCGATCATCGCATTCTCAGCTCGGATGTATGTAATGTAGCCTCTCCTTCACATTCTTAAAAAGATGTATGTTCAATCTCTATAACTTTGATGTGAAACAGATTACACTCGGCTCGCAATACTTCTTCTACATGGAGACGCAAACAGCTCTGGCAATGCCAGATGAAGACAACCACTACTAGAAATCAGACGTATAGCCACAGAAATAATTGTAGCTAATGCCCATATTCCATGGCTATATCACTAGTAGTTACGAATTGCCACAAAAGGTGATTGTGGCTATAGCGTCGTGGCTAAACAATATTCGTGGCTAACCGTAGCCACACTGCCACATATAGCCACACGGATAATTCTGGCTAATTTGCCACATTTTTAGTCACTGTGTTTTCCTGGCTTTGTTAGCCACGATAAGCCACAAATGTCACATGGCTATTAGCCAGGTTTAGCGATGGGAGTCTCATGGCTAAGAGTCACGTTTTGCCAGATTACCACCATGGGTGTTAGCCATTGATAGCCACTATCTTCTGTGGCTATATAGCTACATTTTGCCACACTTCCTTAGTTTCTAAAAGCGACTATTTGCCACAATTTTTCAGTTTCTAAAAGCCACTTATAGCCATGGTGCATCCATGTCTAAGAATTACAATTAGCCATGAATTATTTGTCAATTTATTTAATTAATTTTATTAAGATTTTAAAATTTGTAAAAAGAACAAAATAAATAAAAACAGAAACTGAAATAGCTGAATAAATTAGATTAACATATTTTACAATCAAAAAATCATATCCAAAAGCATTAGCCGAAAGGTTCGCTAATCAGAAGTTCCAAAAAAAGGATTAACAAACACTTAGTCATGTTAAAAACTATAAACAAAAGAGAAACATCCATGCATTAGGTTCCAACTGATTCACCAGACACGAGTGGATCTTGATGATTTCTAGTTCCGTTAGGTCCAGCAGGAGAATCCACTATCGGGCATAGTGTATCAGGGTCGATGCCGTTTGACTGTAATAGCACATTTTGTGCTTGCCTCATTGCATCCATGTTGTCGGTCACAGTGGAGGAGAAAGTGTGGAACCCACTCTCCAAACTGGCCAACCGCATCTCCATGTCTACATTACGAGAGAGAGAAGCATGGATTGTATGGTTGGGTTCTTTGTCTCGAGACTGAATAGAGCTAAGTTTATAGATACGACCTTTGTGTGGCTGGACATGCTGCACATTAGATATAAAATATCATATTGATCATCATCAACAACTGCAAAAATATATTACTCAAATCTTATTCAAAAGCAAATGACTTGATCAAATTATAAGTTAAGATGCAATTTTAACAACGAAATATGGCATACACTCGTAAGAACTTACCACCAAATAAGCTTCATTGAGCTGAAGACGAGTTGAAATGGGCGCTGAAGAGCCAGTGTTGGTGGTCGGAGATCCATCTTCAAAAGACAGCTGGCTAACATAAGCCTCAACTTCAGATATGATAGTCTCAGCTCGATGGTCAATGAATGTACCGTCTTTGCGTGTGTGTGTTTTGCGCACAACATCTATGAATGGTGGTGGTTCATTTCCACCAGCAGCAATCAACTAATAAAAGAAGATTAAAACTAGATATCATAAGTATAAGTAAAATATATATATGCATAAGTATGCATAAGATGAAAATATATATGCATAAGTAAAATTGTAAGCCTTACCATGTCATACTCAATCTTCAGAAATGATTGAGTACCAGCAGTGTGTTTGTGCATGCCTTTACCATCTTTGTTAGATTTACGGCTTTTTGCTGCATTCCTGTTTTTTTTTAGCGCCGGCTCGGTGGACCATTCTTCCAACATCAAGTCCCAGTCAGACTCATTGATGTATGGGGGCCTAACCCCTGATCTCTTCCTCTTGCTAACCAGGTTACCAACCGATTCCTTAACCTCCTCCTTCCAATTGTAATAAACAGAATTATGCTGTTGTGGCTCCCAGTAATAACTTTGCTGAAAAAACAAAATTATACTATGTATTAGAACATACACTAGTTAGCAAAGAAAATTGATAACTAATGGTATACTACAATTGTAAAACTCACAACGAAATCACTCCACCATTTGTCTTTCTTCTCCTGCGGGACCATTCTCTACTTCCACCAAGGTCCGTAAAAGTTTTCTTGCCACTGGGTAACCAAACGGCGGTTAACGCACTTATCAATTTTGAACCTGAAAAAAAATTTAGGTGTGTTATATGATTAAAAAACAAACAAACATGAAGACCTCATCAGTATATTACCATAAAGCGCCATTTAGCTTATGTGGATGGAGAGTAGGCTGTTCTCTTCTTGCAGGTGAAGACAGAAGTGCTGCAATGCTGACCTGCGGATAGCTGGTTGCTGCAGTAACTTGATGCCCTTGTAGCACCAGGTGGTGCAGGGCTATTCGGTGTAAACGTAGGACTTCGACGGTGCATATCTGAGAAGATAAAGATATGAAAACCAAAGTAAGACAGTAAACAGGAATAGATTCATCAAAAATAATTACCAATTTTTTCTAGTCTATATGGTTTCATAAGTTTACAATTAACTCTAACCATTTTCCCTAATAAATCGTTTATTGAAAGAGCAACACATTACAAAAAGTTTCAACATAAGATCTGAAATTAGTTCACAATACATGCAATCCTAAATTATCTGATGAGAAAAAAAAAAACACAGAGAGGAGCAAATATATCAAATGAATTCGAAAAGGAGGAGCATTACCGGCAAGGAAGGATGTGTCTCGAAGGATGGAGCAGTAGACAAAGGCTTTGGCTTGGAGTAGTAGCTGACAAAAAAAAATCCAAAATTAGAAGTGAAACAAAGGAGAAGTGGGAACAGAAGCTGTAAGAGAAGAAGGAATATCGGTGAATTTACCGTCAAATCTCTGGATTCAGTTAAGAGTAGAGAAAATTGCTCTTAAGTTAGAAAGATGAAGAAGCGGCAGTAAATATAACAAGTACATAGAAGGGGAAGACTTATCAGATTAGGTTAAGTGTGGGAAATAAAAATAAGCGTGGGAAATAAAAATAGGTGGGGGAAATGAAAATTAGGGGGGGGGGGGGAAATGAAAATTAGTGGGGGAAATGAAAATTCGGAGGGAAATGAAAATAAGCGTGGCAAATGAAAATAAGAGTGGGAAATGAAGCCTCGACATTAAAATTAGTGGAGGGAAATAAAAGTAAGCATAGCAAATAATAAAAGTTCGACACTAAAATCATCATTATATAATATGGTTTTCTTAAACCGATACAAAACTTATTTAATCATATCTCATTATCTGAATTAGAATCAGAATCAGAATCATCACAAGAATCTTCTAAATCATCTTCAGATACATAAACATCATTAGAATTGTCCACAGAGAAAGGTTCATAATCTGTTTCATTTTCAATGGCATGAGCTGTAACTTGCAAAATTCCGCTTGGTACGACAAACTGATTATGAATGTCATCTTGTAGTGCTATTTGGGTGAGTTCAATAGTTTCTCGAAATCCTCTTGGAAGAACTTTTGTAGTAGCCTACCAGTCATTGACTGCGCTTTGACGTACACGAGTATAAGGAATGAAGCAAACTTGATCACATTGATCAGGTAAAATGAAAGGATCATATTTCTCGTATTGTCTTCGTGGTACAACATCAACTAAACCAGATGGTTGTCTCCGCATTCCACGTCCGAGTCTTGTGTCAAACCAACTGCATTTAAAAATAATGGTTTTGAGTCCAACAGCACTATGATACTCAACCATGAATATCTCTTATATCATCCCAAAATACTCTGCTTCAGTGGTTCCTCGTACACACACACATAATTTTGTGTCCTCTTGTTTTCTCCATGCTTATGCGTATGGAAATGGTAGCCTCTGGAGTAATACATAGGCCAAGAAGTGAATTGATTCCTTGGACCTTAAACAAATTCTAGCATCCACAATGGAAATACATATGATTCATTGGCATCGTTTATCTGCAAATATATATATATGTATATATATATATACATATACATTGTCTAAAGTCAGAAATATGTAGAAAAATATATGACAAAAGTATATAAAATTCTATATTTTGCATTGTATAAATTTTTTTACCAAAGTATGACTTACGTAGTCTTTACACCATTCGGCAAAATGTTTGTCTTTTGCTCTTGTCATTGCGTCTGAAGTAATATCAGGTATGCTTAACGTCATATACTCTTCGAACATTCTGAAAATGTATTAAATTTAAATATATAATAAGAGCAACTAATAAAAAAATAATCAAAACGAAAATTCAGAAAATAAAGTATACCTCTCATATGGAGCAAATGCATCATAATTGAGCATTAAAAATGTTTGAAGCACATTGTAGTCATCGTCTGTTAGCCAACCACGTTTTGATTTTCCACTAACATGTCCTATTGGCTGGAACAAATTTGAGACATCCGGATGAGTGTAAGTAAATCGGATCTCCCTGGGACTTTCATATGTGTCTGGAATATCAGAATGTCCAAAATAATTAGACGTTGCATAGGAGATTTCTTCATTCACGCATTGTGCAACAATTGATCCTCCAATTCGTGCCTTATTTTTAACCTTCTTTTTCAGGTAGTACATATATCTCTCGAATAGATACATCCACCTATATTGAACTGGACCGCCTAAAATAGCTTCATCAGGTAGGTGCACGGGAAGATGTTCCATAACATCAAAAAAAGATGGAGGGAATATTTTCTCTAGGTTGCAAATCTTCACAGCTATATTTTCTTTCAATACATGGACATCTTCAGTTTCCAATATCTTTGCAGATATATCCCGAAAGAAAAGCGCAATATCTGAAAACCGTATATATATAAACCCAATTATTAATTGCATTTATTAAAACTACAAAATTGAAATAATTTTATGAATTATTTACCTGATATTGCAGTGTGAACAGTTTTTGGAAGAAGTTCTGTAAATGCAAATGGGAAAAGACGTTGCATAATGACATGACAATCATGACTTTTTAGGCCCGATAGCTTCCAATTATTTTCATCAACGCAACGTGAAAATTTTGAAGCATATCCATCTGGAAATTTAACATCATTTTTCAGCCATAGGAGGACCTTTGCTTCCCAGACTTCGACAATCTGAAAATTGGAATAGGTGCTTTTCCATCTTCAGATATATCTAAATCAGGTCTGTTACAAAATACTGGGAGATCGATCCTAGATTTGATGTTGTCTTTCGTCTTTCCAGGTACATTCAACAATGTGTTAATGAGATTGTCGAAGAAATTTTTTTCTATGTGCATAAAGTCGAGGTTGTGTCGAAGAAGTAGATTGCTCCAATACGGTAAATCCCAGAAAATACTTTTTTTAAACCCAATTATGATATTCACCATATCCACAATACTTCAAGAAGAGTTATCATGTCCTTTACCTCCACAGTCAACAGTTCTATACACGCCTTCTATGCTGTTGATTCTCTCATGCAAAATTTCTTCCCCGGTCAACCATGGTGGAGAAACATCCCTTACTGATTTGCCTCTCGTAAATGCTTTCACATTCCTCCTGTAAAGGTGATCTTGAGGCAAAAACTTCCTATGACAATCAAACCAGCTATGTTTTCTTCCATTTGGCAACCAAAAAGAATTTGTGTCATCCAAACAATATGGACAAGCCAACCGACCATGCGTCATCCAACCAGAAAGCATCCCGTAAGCAGAAAAATCATTTATTGTCCACATTAATGCAGTTCGCATGGTGAAATGTTGTTTTCTTGAGACATCATACGTTTCAACACCATCTTTCCACAAACATTACAGTTCTTCGATCAATGGCTGAAAGTAAATATCTAAACTTTTTTTTGGATGTTTTGGCCCCGACACTAATATAGATAGAAAGAAAAATTCTCTTTTCATGCACATCCCAGGAGGCAGATTATACGGTGTTACTATGACATGCCAAACTGAGTGTGACTCGCCATTCATGCCAATTGGATTAAAGTCATCTGTTGATAATCCTAGGTAGATATTACGACTCTCACAAGCAAATTCGGGATATACCTTATTAAAATGCTTCCATGCAGCTTTATCTGATGGATGTTGCATCTTTCCTTTTGGGCATATATGTTCTGCGTGCCATCGCATGTGTGATGCTGTTGTTTTTGATTGGTATAATTGCTTCAACCGATCTGTAAGTGGGAGATAAAACATCCGCTGCTTTGGTATATTCTTCCCCACTCCATTTTGGTTTGTACCTATCTTTTTTACAAAATCGACATTGGACCAAATTTTGATCTTCACCCTTCCAAAATAGCATACAGTTATCTTCACACACATCAATTTTATAAACAGGCAATCCTAACGACCTCACTAACTTTTTCGTCTCGTAATATGATTCCGGAGCTTTATTAGGTGAGGGAAGAACTTTTTTAATCGTTTGAGCTATCTCATCCATACATACCTCGGCCAAATTGTTATTAGTCTTTACATTCATCAAACGTGTGGCCAGATACAATTGAGAAATCCCATCTGCACATCCATCATAAAGAGGTTGATTTGCTGCTTCAAACGCTTGAAAAACCTTATCATGACACACTTCTTCATGGAAAGTTTCCGTCATATTTTCTGGAATACTGTTAACAGTTGGTAACATGTTAACATCTTCATATGGGACATGATCATATTGACCGACTGACACTTGAATATTAGCTGCAGGATCACTCCATAATTCTTCTTCAACCTTGCAATAAGTTGTCTTTGATGATTCTCCGACATCGTAAGTACAACTTTCTCCATGACTCGTCCAAACATAATAATTTGCCTTAAATCCCTTCATATAAAGATGAGTAGCCACTGTATCTTTGTCACGTTGCTTCATGTTCCGACATCCCGTACATGGACACAATAAAATCCCTCGCTCTATATAAGATGGTTGATAACAAGAAAACTGAATAAATACGCTTATCCCTTTGAGAAATTCATCTGAAACACAATTTCTGTCAGGATCTAAACGTTTATCCATCCATGTTCTCGATTCAAAAAAATTAGACATTTGTCTTTTTTATTATTATAATTTTTTTTCAATCGTTTCCTCACTTTGATATTTGAGTATCAAATAATTCACTCAGTCGAAGTTGGAGGATTAAAAAAAAGCTTTAGCAATGAAAAGCCACTTAAACACTCTAGCAATTCAAAGTCAATGGCAAAGTCAAGCCTAAAATGAACTTCTATTATCTCATTAACAACACCCTATTTATATTGGATCTCAGATTCTACTTTTATCGTTGTTGCCGATGTGGGACAATAAATTTTAACAAATTTCTGCTTTTTTTTTTGTTTTTTTGACATATCATATTGCCACGGCTTAACCATAGCTTTTCGTGGCAATATAGCCAGGGATAGCTACAATTTTCCACCGTGACTATTAGCTACGAAAAACGGTTACAACTTGTGTGGCAACGTAGTCAGGATAATTTTCGTGACGATTTCGTGGCTAAACAGCTACGGTAAGCCACGGTTTTTCTACTATGGCTATTGTGCCAGGAAATAGCCACAATGCTTCCACGATTTTCATGTCTTTGTTTAATGTGGCTTAAACGTGGCTAATGCATGGCTATTTTTATGTGCCACGGAAATATCTGTGGCTGTGCCGTGGCTATACGTCTGATTTCTAGTAGTGAACTCCATTTTAGTTTATAGCTCATGTCAGACCCCTCAATATGTACACTCCACTGTCGCTGCTTGCCTAGGCATCTCTGAAAAAAAAGTCTCTATCATAACAAGACGTGTCGGTGGTGGTTTTGGAGGAAAAGCTGTCAAAGCAATGCCAGTAAGTTTTTCGAAAACTTTCATCTTTCTCACTCACTTTCTGCAAGAAATGGACCAAAAACGTCAAAAGCTTTTACATCTTCTCAGGTTGCAACAGCGTGCGCTGTTGCTGCTAATAAACTACAGCGTCCTGTGAGGACCTATGTAAACCGCAAGACAGATATGATCATGACTGGTGGGAGGCATCCCATGAAGATAACCTACAATGTGGGATTCAGATCCACAAGGAAGATCACAGCTTTGGAGCTAGAAATACTGATTGATGCTGGAGCAACTCTTGGACTAAGTATGTTAATGCCATCAAATATCATAGGGGCGCTAAAGAAGTACAATTGGGGAGCCTTATCTTTTGATTTCAAGCTTTGTAAAACAAATCTTCTAAGCAAAGCAATCATGAGAGCACCAGGGGATGTGCAGGGTACCTATATCGCTGAATCCATAATCAAAAATGTAGCCTCTAGTCTCTCCTTAGAAGCTGATACCATAAGAAAGATTAATCTCCATACATATGAGAGCTTAGCCCTTTTCTACAAGGATGGTGCTGGTGAACCACATGAGTATACTGTTTCTTTGACGTGAGATAAACTGGGTGTATCTTTAAACTTTGAGGACCGGATTTCGAGTGTCAGAGCGTTCAACGAGTCTAACATATGGAGAAAACGAGGGATATCCCGAGTACCCATCACTTATGAAGTCTCCATGTTTGCAACTCCAGGGAGAGTAAGCGTTTTGAGCGATGGCTCGATCGTTGTTGAAGTTGGTGGAATCGAGCTTGGACAAGGGCTATGGACAAAGGTGAAGCAAATGAATGGTTATGCTCTTGGTTTGCTCCAATGCAATGGAACTGAAGAGCTCATGGGGAAGATAAGAGTTGTACAATCAGATACATTGAGCATGGTCCAAGGAATCTTTACAGGAGGTAGCACAACATCTGAGGGAAGCTGCGCAGCTGTTCGTCTCTGCTGTGAAACCTTAGTCGAAAGACTGAAACCTCTAAAGACAACGTTAATGGAGAAATCGGGTGGTTCAATCAGCTGGAATGAGTTGATTTCTCAGGTTTTTTTCCTCAATTCGGATTTTCTTGATCATGCTTCTTCATTTTTATTCTAGATTTTTATGGCCAAATGCAGGCCTATGCTCAGTCTGTGAACTTATCAGCTAGTGACTTGTATACTCCAGAAGAAACTCCTACGAAATACCTGAATTACGGTGTTGCAGTTAGTGAGGCAAGTTCTTGTTTCTTTTTTCAGTAACTTTCTGTCCTTGAAAATCTGAATTTGAGTTATGGAAATGGAGCAACTTTGGTAATCCAATGGTGTTGTTATAGGTTGAAGTAGACCTTGTGACGGGGAAAACCACGGTTCTACAGACAGATATCTTGTACGACTGTGGCAACAGTCTCAATCTAGCTATCGATTTAGGACAGGTAATATGGATAAAGAGAGCACACAAGCTTAAGCAAATGGAACATTTACCTACAAATCTTGTTTGTATAGATTGAAGGAGCTTTTGTGCAAGGGCTTGGATTTTTCATGCTTGAAGAGTACATAACTGATTCGGATGGACTCGTTGTGACAGACAGCACATGGACATACCGACCATAGACACCATTCCTAGGCAGTTCAACGTCGAGATACTAAATAGCGGCTGCCATGAAAAACGCGTACTCTCTTCTAAAGGCCAGTCCATAGTAGACAACATTTAAAAAAAAATAGCAATCAACTTTATGATCATCTAGTGGTTTGTGTAAATACAGCTTCAGGAGAGCCTCTGTTGCTACTGGCTGCTTTGGTGCACTGAGCCACAAGAGAGGCGATTAAAGTAGCAGGCTAACAGCTAAGGATGTGGAAATGTGAGGTTGGTTTGGATTCAATGTTTCAGTTGCCAGTTCCGGCTACAATGTCCGTTGTGAAGGAGTTATGTGGCCTAAATATCGTTAAAAGCTATTTGGAGTGGAAATTAAGAGTTACCTCAAGATCATGATCAGTTTTTACAGTGAAATATGTACTTGTTTATTAATATTTTTAATAATTTAGAAAAGACATCCTTCTTATGTTTCCCCCTTTCTTGTAAGCAACCAATCTAGTTGATTAAGGAAAACAAAAATCAATTTTATAAAATCATGCTTGATAATAAATACAAAATTATCTTCAAAAGTTAAATTAAAAAACAGATATAACAAAGGAAAATCTGAGCAATCTATTTGAGGGAAGGAAATGAGGACTGAACAAACTACTTGCGTAAGAGAAGAGAACAAAACAACAAGAAACTGACATCAGTGCCCAAATCAAATACAAGAGGTCTAGTGAAGCTAACCTTTGATCCTAACAAACACCATCAAGCATAATAATCGTCTTTGACAATATCAACTGATACTACCAGCGACCATAGTTCTCTGGAAACTCGCTATAGTGGTGAACCGGACCATAACTTGAGGGTGCAGGTGCATATCTGTGAATCTGATGATGATGATGAGAAGGAGAAGGATAATGAGGTTGCCACATTGAATGCGGATGATCCGAGAGATGCCCACTAGACTCGTATGATGAATTTCTATGGTTTCTACCATATGATGTGGTTGATTGAGAACCTGGATAATGACCACTAGAACTAAATGTTGGTGATCTATGGTTATGAAAATGACCCATATATGTCGTGGGTAACCTATGATGGTTATGACCTGATGGTGTAATAGGAGACTTTGGCCTCCTGATATTTCCTCTTTAGAAAGAATAGTCTTCCAGATCATTTATCATCTAACCGCTTCTCAGTTTTGGTTTCTGTAGTGTAGTTTGCGGATGTTCTCCATGTTCTCCTTTATGTGTTTTCTTCTTCTTCATCTTCCCATTGGATTCACGGGGAGTAGAGTAGTGTTCCGAGGTTTCTTTATTTTTCTTCTTCTTCGTCTCCCCGTTGGATTCATGGGGAGTAGAATTGTATTCCAAGTTTTCTTTATTCTTTTCTTCTTCGTCTTTTCGTTGGATTTACAGGGAGTAGAAATCTGTTTAGACTTTTCTTTATTCTTCGTCTTCCTGTTGGATTCATGGGGAGTTGGAGTGTGTTCCGAGTTTTGTGTATTTCTCTTGTTAGATTTATCTGATGGAGTAGATAGCTCACGATTCCTCTTAGAGACCTACATGTAGAAAAAAAGGAACTCTAAGTCATAACATGAGAGAAAAAGGAAAGAGTTGAAAAGCTCAAAGCACCAAATGGAGAGAGAAAGATCCTACCTAAGAGGAAATCAGACATTCACGAGCAACATGTCCAGCTCCATTACATCTGTAGCATAAACTAGGTGAGTCTTTGCCATGTGAAGTGCTAATGCTCGAGGAATTCGAGCATTCACATGAGAAATGCCCTTCTTCCCCACACCTAAAGCATGAACTAGCAGAATCTTTTTTGGTGCTTTCCTCATAGTACCTACCACCAGCCTAAAGAGAAAATCTACTTTAGTCAGATGACGAATTCTGCATCACTATTTTAACTAAAATGAGAATAAATCAATTCTGTGATCGACGGTGTGGATGATCCAAAAGCAAAATCGTAACAACTTACCAGTCCAATGTGACCCAGCTGACCACATCCGATAACGGTGAGTTACCCGGTTCAACACAGCATAGATTGCCAAATCTTTTACAGACATAGCAATGTATATCCTGGTCAAAGTAAATGTGGAAATATAGCATTATCATCCGTCTGATCTACCATATAATCCAACTATACTAAGCAAGAGTATTAAGTTTCATGAAAACGAAGTTACCTTTAAATAATCATGGGAGGACTCATACTTGCACAAAATCATGTCATGTCCAGAGTCTCCACATCTTAAACATATGGCTGTCTTAGACCAACTTTTGCAGTTATCCGGACAATCTTTTGCCCCGTGGCCACCATTTTTGCCAATATAACAATCGTGTCCCTATAGAAACAAGAAAAATTCACTCAACAACCCTATGCAATAATAACTTCACTAGTCATCCTAAATCTGCCATGCAAACCACATAACTACACTCAAAACACTTCTACGAGTTTATACATAAGCTTTATGATTATATTGGAGAAAATAAAAGCAAGGCAACTACATAAAACACCGACCATTAAGCTTCAAAACCGCACCTTTGAACACTGCTTTGCACCATTTCCAAACTCCCGCATATAAAGCAAGGCTTCCTACTCTTGATTGTAGTTTGGACAATTAACAGTTACATGATCTTGCTCCCCACAACTATAACAATTCTGCCCAGCATCAGGAGGGCAAAGTACCTCGCTCCACGCTGAATAACACAAGATCCCAACAATGTTCATTACAGAGAGAAGTATTCCGCAATAAAAAAGTGGGAGATAAAGAGCAGTGATTTCAACTCATAAGAAGCTTTTTCAAAACCATATTACTAGATATTTCTCCAGCTTTCGGTTCAGCAGATCTCTCAACCTTAACCTCATCATCTTTTCCTTTTGTTAAATCTTCCACCATCTTATCCTTACTTTGGACTTTTGAACCAATGGACTGATACAAATTAAGAAAAACCGAAGAGCATTAAACACAAGCATCAAACTTTCCTAAACAAATAACAACACTGAAGTCAAAAACAACTAATTTTAAAAGTTATGACAGAGAAGAGAATCGTTCATACTGACAATTTCGTGGGCATCTCTGGATTGGTTCCCTTCATCTTCTTACTACTCTTTGAGTTTCCTCCATTGACAATCACAGTACTTACTACACCAGAACCGGATAGATCTGACATTCTTGTCTCCTTTGAATCATTGAAATCACTCCTCGATAACACTTTCTCTAATATCTTCAAGCTAAGATCTTTATTACCCTCATCATCGTCTTCTTCATCTCCAATGGCTATAGGATCTTCTTCACTGTCCTCATCCTCTCCGTCATCAAAAACAATTTCTTCATGGTTACGCTTTGGCATGACGAGGGATAAGAACTCTAAATCCAATTTCTATACCTAAAAACCGGATTGTGCGGCTTAGTCGGCCAAGATTTCGAATGATTCGGTTCAGAAATTGGAATTTATTTCTTATGTGTCAACTGGTTTTGTGTTACGGCGGAGGAAGAAGAAGATTATGGTAGGGTTCTTTGGTTTTACTATTTTACCCCTGAAATAAGGTGAAGCCGTAAATGATAGTAAGGTTTTGGCCACGAATGTTTGCATGGTTTTTAGTTTTTGGTTTCTAATTTTTAGCTTTTGGTTTTTAATTTTTGGATTTTGGTTTTAAAATTTTAGTTTTTGATTTTTCTGTAAATTTTTATTTTCTAAAACCTTGAATGGTATGTTTAGTTTCTAGTTTTCTTATCAATAATTATTTTTTAAAAACGTTTCTATGCTTTTAATTTTTATTTTAATTTTGTGTTTAAAAATTACAAAAATTAAATAAATAAAATTGAAGTGTCAAAAACATATTTTTTTTAGAAATTAACTAACAACAATTTATAATTAATAATAAAAATTATAAAATTATAGATTTTTTCTACAGTAAAAAAATGATAGATAAAAATGCACATAGGTAAAATGAAGTTATTGTAGAAATAAAGTTTTTTTTTGCTTCTATGTTTTTTATTTTAGAAATACAATTCTGTTTTGCTTTTTTTTTTCTTAATTATTGATTTAGAAAAATAGCAGTAATTAAAAAAAAAAAGACTCACCAACAACAACTTACAGAAACTTCTTTGAAAAAACCCATAGATGGTGTGGTTTTTGGTTTTTATTTAGAAAGATAAAAACTCGGAAAAACTAGTTTCCCTAAAATTTAAGAAATCTGTTTCTTCAAGAACTTAAATGACTAATAAAAAAAAATTCTTGGGTTCACCCCTAGGGGTGAAACTCTGTATTCACTCCATTGTTTTCGAACCAGTCAAAATATGTCATCTAGTTTAGAATAAAAATGAATATTAAACAATTTAGATAAGTTAACTTTTAAATCACAGAATTGTTTTTTTATTATTCAAACAAAATCATTCGAATTAGTTATTAAAATAATTTTTTATTTAATTCCTCTTATTTTAATCAATGAAAATCAGCCAAGCAATAAAATAATTAAAATAATTTATCAAAATAGCATATTTTAAATTTTCTTTTCCAATGGGGGAAAACTAAGCCCTAAATTAGAAATACTGAACCCAAGCATAATATTAAACTTTATTTATAATTTATTTTTGATGAACACATATTTTTTACATAATAATTTTTCTATTTTCAAAATTTTAAACCCTCATCTCTAAATCCTAAACCCTAATCTTTATACCGTAAACCAAAATATGTAAATATTTAGGAAATTAAAAATAAAAACTAAATCTAAATCTCTAAACTTTAATTTGTAAAAAATATTAAACGAAACCCTAAACATTAATCTCTAAATCCTAAATTCTAATTTGCTAACCCTAAAAATATATATCAATATTTATATACATTATTTATTTATATATAAAGATATATACTTTTATAAAATATTTGAGTAAGTGTTTTAATTGTTTAATTTATTTTTTTATTTAAAATAATATTAGATGACACATTTTAATTGGCTAAACTAAGAGGGGGTGAATAAAAAAGTTCATCCCTTGAGGATTTAGAGAGTATGGTTTAAAATTTTGAAAATAGAAAAATTATTATGTAAAAAAGATATATTTATCAAAAAAAAATTATAAAATAAAGTTTAATATTATGGTTCGGTTCACTATTTCCAATTTAAAATGTGCTATTTTGATAAATTATCTTAATTAATTTTATTATTTAGCTGATTTTTATTGGTTAAAACAAGAGAAAGTAAATAAAAAGATTATTTTAATAACTAATTCGAATTATTTTGTTTGAATAATACAAAAAAATATGATAAAAAGTCAACTTACCTTAATTGTTTTATTAAGATAATATTTATTTTTATTCTAAATTAGATGGCATGTTTTGATTGGTTAGAAAACAAGGGGGTGAATAAAGAGGTTCACCCCTAGGGGTGAACCCAAAAATTATATTTTTGAAAAGCAAAAACAAAATCTATTTCAAGAACTGCAAACAATCAAAGCTTTATGAAAAAAAAAACAATCACGTAGAACAATCTCTCTTCTCTCACCTTCATCTTTGAAAGAGTCATCTAAGTTTTTTACTGTAAATTTCTGGTCAATTCATATCTACTTTTGGATTTTCTAAAATAATTTCAGACGTAATTTGGAATTTTTTTTGTTTATTTACTTAAACCATCTCCAACATTTTACTTCATTTTTTACTTCATAAACTTTATTAACACAGACTGTAAATTTTCATTAAATGATCACATTTAATACATCGTTATTTTGGGAAGATTTTGCAAACCGACATTAGCATTTCATGCTCTGAGCGAATGCAGAAGTTATTGGGCGCTATGGTTGATAACTAATTCAGCTAATTACTTACATCGGAACACTAATAATTAATTTTATATTTGTTAGCTCCTCTCTGCTTCATTAAATACAAAGAAACTTGGTTGTGTCCGTAATAAATGCAGGTGGTAGTGAGGAAGAAGCTGGAAAATCTATGTTTTCTTGAGAATCGTGTAAGGTGAAATCTTTTCCTATGTTATCCCCGTTTTAAAAATTTATGCCTAACTTTGTTATGTATTAAACCACAACTATCGATAAATCTCGCTATCGCAGCTATCTAACAATATCTAACACACGACCTTTAAACTTCCACAGATAATTAAGGTTTGATGACTCTTCAAGTGGCTGTTGTTCGAGACGTGTGGAAGAAACCGAGTAATGGAAATTGAGTTCACGAACCCGACAAAGGTGATTTTTAACGCCTCCGCCGGTATGAAGGAAGGAGACTCTTTCAGTTCGATGGTGGATGCAATCAGATTGGGGTTAAAACTGGAAGCGAAAGACGATGTCGACATAACTTACACATGGCCCCATTGGATCCTGGGTCCAGAATGGAGGAAATCTCCACCCATCTTCATTTTGAATGATGAAGACGCTGCCTTTTTAAGACAGATCTGGATGAGATGTTTCTGAGAGTTAGGGTTCACCCTACAACAGCAAAGAACACTGTTAACGTATTTAGGAGAGCATTGGACTTAAATGCTAACTTTGTTAACAACTACATTACAGGACTATCTATTTTCCCCTATGGTATGCAGTACTCGAGCACTTCATCCTTAACAGACAATCACCACCTTTGAGAGGAAAAAGGTTTACACTTTTTCAATGAACCTATGAAGTCTATTTGAACATAAACTAACATCAAAACAAAAATCTTTTCTATCACAGCTGGTGAAATAATGGAAATTACACCATTTATAATCTTCCATTCAATTTACGTATTGTTGTCCTGGATAAGTTTTAAAACCATCGTCTTTGTTTTCTCATCAGTAAGTGAAGATACTTTATCACTTTCAGATGCTGCTGATGCAGAATTTTGACATCTACGATACTTTCTCATCTTTCCTTTACCTGTATTCCCTCCGGCTACCTTTGTCTTCTGTCCGCGACAAGTTGTTCTGGCAGCTAACGTTTCAGGGTCAAAGCCAGATCCAAACATCTCACTCTTAAAATCAAATCCTTGGTTGATAAGCGTAATCATATGGTCAACTCTTTCATCTGGTTCATCTTCGCTCCAGGAGAGATCTTCCTTCTCATGGTTGAATTCGAAATCCTGCTGAATGATAGAGTGAACCTCAACCTACCAAATACATGGTTGCGGTTATTAGGATTTACTATACAAGCGAAAGTAAAGCTAATAGACAATATTAATACTATGTAAATTATATATCTAATAGAGTTAGCCTAAACCAATGTTACCGACAAACATTAAGATATAACTGATAAATAGGCTATCATTCTGTTACATTGTTACCGCTATTGTCAAGAAATTATATAAAACAGTTAGCAAACAATATTATAGTTTGTTCTATAGACAAACTATGAAAATATATGAAAAACTGAAGTTATTGCAGGTAATTTAACCTAAACCAAGTTATAGACAAATCTACCTATAACTACCGAATAAGTTATCATTCTTTTCTTTCCAAGGGTAACAAAAGACTAACCTTTCCAAGGATATTGAAGGAATGCATCAAGGTCTTCAACCATCTCAGCATGATCCATGCTCACCTTAGACCATCTCAGCATGATCCATGTCTTCAACCATCTCAGCATGATCCATCTCAGCATGATCCATTCTCATCTCAGCATGATCCATGCTCACCTTAGACTGACTAAAATGGTTGGAGTTGGAGTCGGAGAGCACCTCTTCGCCATTACTATGATCTGCATGGTCCATCAACTAAACAAAGGGTTAATGCTTCATCGGTAAATTTTTTGGTGTGCAAATATCCGGGCTTAAGGATTTTGAGTAGAGATTCAAATCCTAAAAGAATCGGACCTTTTCGTTTTCCACACCACCAGATAATAGGCAAAAGTTTAGATTTTTTTTAACTATTTTACTTTTTTCTCGGATTAGTCCACAACCGGCAATAATGAAGTTGCCAGGAAGTGGGGGCCCACATGCTTACGACATCAGTTTAAGTGTGTTATAGCTTAAGTCGCAGGCACTAGCTTTTGACGCATAAAATAGAGGTATTGTGGTCACTTATTTTTGTACGGTTGCACTCACACAGTATGGATTCTGACGACTTAATTTTGGGATTATCTATATGTACTTCTTCATAGTACTCTTAAATTTATTACTAATAATAAACCAAATACAAATATGAAAACAATGTAAGACATATCTTAATATATAAAGGAGAATGATTCAAAGTTGTTAACTCGCCTGATTGTGATATATGTTTAGTTAATTGATCATATTTTGACATGTATAAAAAAAATTTGATCATATTTTGACATGTGTAAAAACAAATTCTAATTAGATTTTCACAATATTAATGATAAACAATAAAATAAATAATCAATCATGGAATACAATGTGATACTCAATGT